CATAGATTTCCATTGTCTGTCCTCTTATTGATCATAGATGACGTCTTAAAATGTTCAAAACTAAAGTGGAACCACTCGCTTCGCTCGTGGTTCCACTGTAAAGTTTTGAACATTTTAAGACATCATCTTTGATCAATAAGAGGACAGACAATGGAAATCTATGTGCGATCTGTTTTTTACAACAAACTGCGAAATTTTTACAAAATAAAATATGCGAAAAGTTTTTCGAAAATTTGTCATTCAAGGAAAGCAAGGCGATAGACCAAACAGCTCCGATTATTGTGAGCTTTTGAATATTTTCGTAAGATAGTTAGTTTTCATGATCATTAGAGGACAGAGTACAGAAGTAAGACGAAGGTTTTTCGGTTATTTACTTTTGAAAACTTCAAAGGTTATTTTATGACTTACAAAAGTTTTTTTCATAAAACACATCAACATTTCACAACCAAACTTCCTACGCTGTGATTGGCTAATTTTGACAGTTCTTTGACAGCCACTGTGAAAGAATGCTTGCTATTGGTCAAAACTTTTGACATTTACTTATAAATGGCTTTTTAGCTAAGCCGAAAAGAGTTTGAGTCAGAACTCAAAGGTTCTACAAAACGAAGCTTACTAATAAGTTCAGCTATAGGAAAAGCAATGTCAATTTCGCTTGACAACATAGACATTCACGTTCTGGATGGAGCAGCCATTGAAAATCGACTCTGGAATGGAGTTAATGGCCATCTCAGACTGTACAACCTGTACAGAAGTGGAAGCAGACGAAACAGCCCTGAGATCTCGATCAAGCCTTCTACTCTCGCCCTCTGAATCGGTCAATGCACTGGAAATCAGGTCCAAGCAGGTCTTTAGTTGCTGGACCAATGGTCTTCTGTTATAAGATAGAATACTCTGTTCATTGGTATGTCCAGAGATGCTCATTATGTGACGAGTCGGGATTCCAGCATTTGACCACATGGTGATAGCTGTTGCTCTGACGCTGTGATTCGTGTAGACTTTTCACAAGCCAGCTCCGATAGAGATTGACTAGCTTCATCATATCACCCAACTTGTTGACACCTAGAGGCTTGTTTTCATACCAGACTGGGTCCTCTGGTGTAAAGATTGGCACTGGTCTTTGAAAGAACGCATGTTGTTTGGGGTTAAGTTAGGAAAGATAGTACTTCAGGCACCACAGCGAATCGCCAGTTTCACCTGTTGAATACAACCGTGTTTCGTTTTCATAACTCTGCTTGTCACAAAAGCCACCCTGATGGTTTTTGGTCTGCTCCTCGTGAGTCATGGTTGCATATTCCTTTACTTCACCGTCAATATCAAAAGTAAAGCTTTCTCGGCGGAGCTGTCTTTGGCCTTCACAAGCACGGCGGCACCAATACAGGGTCACTATGAACCACACTCGCCGAAGGAGGCCGTAAGGATTCTCGTGGCTCAAAAAAGGATTTTTCTTGACTTTACTCACATCGGCTGGCTCAATGACTGGTTTGTGTTTGGTATTTTGTTTCTGTTCTCTTTTGTTAACCTTCAGCTTGCTCTCCAGTATCTTGTTAGAGCTGTAAAATGCTGGGTTGTTAGTGAGCTTCATTGCTTTACCATTGACTGCAAAATGGCGTTCAACAGCATTCCTGAACCCAAGCAGCGAGGAGCGGCTATACTCTTTGCCTTTCTGGTTTCTGGACTCTGCATAAAACCTCCTCAGGATGTCATTTAGCTCGGCCTCTGTTAGATCCAACAAGGGCTTGCAAATTTTTCGCTCATGGCACCATTCTGAAAATTGCATCAACAACTCGTAAGTAACTAAAAGTGAAAGTAAGATTATTTCTGTAGATTTCTTTATCCTTTTCAATATTA